AAGCGCGCCGGTCTTTCTATCATTAATTCACCTTTTAACAACAGGAATGAAAGGAGTAGTAACCTTCTTCGATGATATTTGCGTACATAGTAAGACTATCGAGGAACATTGTGAGAGTATTATTGAATTAATGGAACGTCTAAGAAAAGCGAATTTAGTATTAAATCCGGAAAAATGCGAGTATTTTAAATCAGAGGTAGTATACCTAGGTTATGTAATCTCGAAAGACGGTTTACTACCTCACAATGATAAAATTTTAGCCGTCCAACAATTTCCCACGCCGAGAAACCCAAGGAATATTAAACAATTTATTGGCCTGTGTAGTTACTACAGACGATGCATTGACAAATTTTCCGACATCGCACAACTGTTAAGAAAAGATCAGCAGTTCATATGGAAAGAAGAGCAGCAGAAAGCCTTCGAACTATTAAAACGCAAATTGTGTGAGCCACCTATATTGATTCACCCGAACTTCGAAAAACCATTGATTTTAATAACAGATGCTAGTGGATACTGTGTAGGATGCATTTTATCGCAAAAATAAGATGAGGATGGCTTTGATAAGCCAATAGCTTATGCATCACGAGCGTTAAATGACGCAGAAAGACGTTACAGCACTTTCGAGAAAGAAATGTTAGCAATTGTTTTTGGAATTCTTAAATTTCGACCGTACTTATATGAAAAAAAATTTACCGTCATTACTGATCATAAACCTCTGGTTGGATTAAGATCGCACAAAGATCCCAACTTACGAGTAACTAGAATGAGACTGATGGTAGCAGATTTCCAATATGAAATTAAATATAATGCCGGAGCTACAAATATAAATGCAGATGTTTTGTCACGTAACCCAATAGAATTACATACATTAGAGCCGCAATTAATTCAAGAACCAATCGACATAGTAAAAGGATTAGAAGCAAATGATGATAAAGTACAGGAACCGGAAGGGATGATCACACGATCGCACACTGAACGAAAGCCTAGCGCTAAATACGAAGAAGCTATAAGCGCACTGTAACCTAGTAAACAGAAAAAAAGACGAGACCAAAGTGCCACCGAGGTAACAACACAACAAAAAGGGGAAGACAAAAGGTCAGAAACCCCTGAAAACACCAATAGCAACACACTATGTACGCAACAAGTCGAGAATCAAACAACAGACGTATAAAGCAAGGGGACAGGTGTGCCATTAAAAACCAGTTTAGAAACTATCAAAGAAGAAGACGAATACGAATCAAACGAAACTAAGATAGACGCATCAGATGAGCTCGTAAATAATGAGAATGAAATAGAAAAGAAGTTACCTCAAAACAACATCATTTATTGTCGCGAAAAATTGTGTAACGGTCCAATTTATGAGCTATTTATTAGATCACTGAATTACCGCAACCAGTCTAACGCATCTATCTGTTTATTCAAATCAATACATTAAGCGGCGCTACCTCACTGTTTACTTGATTGTATTCATACAAGAGTCGAATTTCATAATCAAAATAAATAGTGTGACGTCACAAAGTAATAGATATAGATATAATGATTTTTGGTATTAAGAAAAATATGTTAATTAGAGATAAGTTTAATATAACAAAGCATTTCTTATATAGATTTTAGTACGTAGATTCAGAATATAATAACACAAACTGTATTTAATTATTGAATAATAATGAATTTCAATATGCAAAGTTAATTTATTTATTACGCTAAAAATATACATTATTAGAAAAATGAAAATAATCCATATGCAAAATGAATAAGTATAGAACATGAGTAAGAATTGGTTTCATTAATAACAGCTGAATAATAACTGTTATTAATAAATAAACAATTAAGATTTAGTTAAACAATAAGTTGTATATAAAACGAAAACATTAATTTTATACTTAATAATGATAACTTTATGATTTAGGAATCTTAGATAATTAATCATTATTGCATTATATTGCATTATAAGATTAGAAAAAACCGTTATAAATATGAAAATTGGTTATAATTCAAATGTTATTAACTAATTTGAATATTTCTTTTTAGAAAATACTTCCGAAATTAAGCAACTATAAAGTTGTATAAAAATTTAATAATTTTCTATTGTAAATATTGTAATATCACGTTAATTAACTTTATTAGTTAATAACTATTGACGACACTATTTGCGATAATTGTATATTGTATAAAATCAACAAATAACAAATTCTGTAAAGTTTACATGTGTTAAAAGCTTACTATTAAAGGTTATTTACTTGTAAATTAAGAAAACTCATTTCTCAAAATTCGCGAATGTCTCTCGATTATTCGATGACATCTCTCCTGCAAAAATTATCGGGAAAATCTGTGTACGAGGTGTGATCAAAAAGTAAGGTGAATTTTTATTTTTCTCAAAAAATATTTATTTATTCATCAATTTTTATTTTATCTCCTTCAAAGTAATCCCCCTCGGATATAATGCACTTGTGCCAACGTTTTCCCAATCCTCAAAGCATTTCAAAAAATCATTTTTTGTGATCTTGTTTAGTTCATCCTTCGATGCCGTCTTTATCTCCTCAATTGTGGTAAAACGCCGTCCTTTCATGGGCCTCTTCAGTTTTGGGAACAAGAAGAAGTCACAGGGGACCAGATCTGGGGAATACGGTGCCTGTGGCATCGTTACTGTGTTGGTTTTAGCCAAAAATTCGCGCACAAGCAACGACGTGTGAGCAGGGGCGTTATCATGGTGCAAAAGCCAATTTTTATTTTTCCACAAATTCGGACGTTTCTGGTGGATTGCTTCGCGCAAATTGCGCATAACTTGCAGGTAATATTCCTTATTTACTGTTCTACCCTGTGGCAAGAACTCATGATGCACCACGCCCCTGCAGTCAAAGAAAACTGTAAGCAAAACCTTTACATTTGATCGAACTTGGCGTGCTTTTTTTGGTCTTGGTGATCCAGAATGCCTCCACTGGGACGATTGAGTCTTAGTCTCGACGTCATAACCGTATACCCATGTTTCGTCACCTGTTATAACCCTGTTGAGTAAATCTGGATCATCGTTAACGTCATTCAGTAGCTCTTGGGCGATGCTCATGCGACGTTTCTTTTGGTCGAAATTGAGCAATTTCGGAACAAACTTCGCTGACACACGCCTAATGTCTAAAACACTCGTCAAAATTGATTGGCACGAACCAAATGAGATGCCAATATCATCAGCAATTTCTCTAATGGTAATTCGACGATTTCCCAACACTATTTTCTTCACTTCTTCAACATTCTCATCAGTTGTTGATGTGCTGGGGCGTCCAAACGAGGTTCGTCGTCGGTGTCTTCTCGGCCTTCTTGGAAGAGTTTATACCACTTGTAAACATTTTTTTGGCTTAAAGTAGACTCACCGTATGCCACTTTCAGCATTTCAAGTGTTTTGGAACATTTGATTCCATTTTTCACACAAAATTTAATGCAAACTCTTTGATCCATGTTTTTAGACAGCAGCAAATCGTGGAGCACGCAAAACATTTCTAACATTGATGCCTCTCACAAACAAACCAAACATACTACAAAGCTGAAATTTGGAACGTATGTTCTAGACGAGTGTACCGACATAACCAAATAAAAAAGTCGAAGATCGAACGGACGTAGCCCGCTAAATTTCAAAATTCACCTTACTTTTTGATCACACCTCGTATAAATAAGCCCACCTTTGCACAGGCTAGCATTCACTTCTAGCCTTGCAAGGTGAGCGCATGAGTCTGAATAAACTTGGCTATTACCTAAGTTCTTTCTCTCATTGTGATTAACTGAGCAAGACTGTTCCTTCCTTATAATTCAAGCTCGACTTATAGGACATCTCGCGCTATAAGAAACTTGGGCCGAATTATATCCTATCCAAGAAAGACTTTAGCTTTGCTTATGGGACAATTCGTACCATAAGAAACTAGGACATCGTCTGACTTTCCCTGAAACATTGTACTTATTTATATATATTTGATTTATTTATTATTATTAGAGTACATTTGATTTATTTATTTATTTTATCGACAAGTAGAGTAAAATTATTAGAAACAAGTTATTACTCATTAGCTAGATACGAGAGTTCGAATTATTATTATTTATAAGTGATACGAACATCACAATTGTTTATAAGAAAAGTCAATTATTTGTATTTTGTCAATGATAAAGGAGAACCTCTCGATGAAGGAGCTATCCTTTTAAAACAAGTAAATAAATTACCAAGATTAGAAAATTTAAAAGTAGGATACCCTAAACTAATTAAAGTTGGAAAAAGATATCATTTAGTAATGCCGCTCAGGTGCGAACAACGAGAAAGCACCGAGGATATAATTATTATGCTAAAAGCATTACTCATGAATTTAAGAAACATCATTGATGAAAACAAGATAGTCACCTTTAGCTTAGATAAAAGTGAAAACATAGAGAACGTGTTATTCAGTAAAATTATTAACTGTATACGAGATAAGCTTGGAAAACTAGATGTCAAGGTCATAGTATGCACCGGACAAGTAAAACACCGCCTACTTAACGAGAGAGCGGAGATTATACAAGAAGCACATTCTTCAGCAGTCGGAGGACAAGCGGAAGTTAATAAAACATTTAATCGTATTCGACACAAATCGAACTGAGAACGTCTTAAAGAAGACGTAATTAGTTTCATACAACATTGTGTTGATTGCCAAACAAAAAAATTAGTACGTGAAAAAACTAAACAGAAGTTTGTATTTTCATGACATTCAAGGCAAAAATTGAAGAATTCCGTTAGGCGCTTTTCAAAAAAAGTGAAGAAAAAAAATTGAAAAATGTATTATATTTCGATAACATTTCATAAATAAATATCCTTATAGATATTTAAAATCTAAATAAAATTAGATATTCAGTTAAATTACTGAGGATAGATGTTTCATGAATCATGTATGATGGTATAATATAAATTATTATAATTATGATTAATATTACTATTATTATCTAAAGAAATTATGAGTATAATATTAAAAATGATTTCAATAAATTACGATATTTGACGGTTTTTCCATGCTGAGTTTATCTCTGAGGTCCGTACTCGCTCTCTGCGAAAATTCTGTGGGTACGTTCGACTATAGACTATAGTCCGACCATTTATCCGCCATCCGTTTGACACGTACGATGACCGTTGAGTGACCGCAGCACTCGCAGCAGCAAAAGCTACCTCCGCAACAGATTATTCTCGTATTAACACCTATAAGTACTTGGTGGCAACGATTGCATTTCAAATAGAAAACGAAATCAGTAACAGTATATACATACCGACCTTAATGGATAAAAATTTTTGTTTTGTATTATTATAATCAGTATTATTAGTAACGTTACAATTGTTACAGAGCATTATATTAATTTAGAAAACGGAGTCATTTTGCAGTATATAAGTAAGTATTTGAATCTATTGAAATTTTTGTAAATTAAAAGTATCTTAAAAACTAAAAATTCATCGTATGATTCAAGGTTAATTTTTTTCAAATACCTCCATTACTTTTAAATGTCATGTACATAAATTGCAGGAAAATACATTTTCTATTCATTTTACACTAATTTGTTTTGAAAGAAAAAAAGGAATATTCCAAGATTTTTTCAACATTTTCATAATATTTTTACAATCTTTGGGTATCAAGAAGGGCAAACGTCATTTTTTATGAAGTTTATTGAAGGAAATATAATATAGTATTACATTTATGGTTATCATTTATAACTATATAACGATATGATAATTTACTTTATTCGATGGAAGTATGTAGTTTACCATAATATTGATATATTTATCACTATTCATTGTACCTTCTACAAAATGCAGGTCACCTGTTTCTTTTCCCCACAAACAACCCCAAATTATTACAGATCCACCACCTTTCTATACTTTTGCGGACTGACAATTACTCTTGAATTTTTCACCAAACGTCTCACTCGTTTGGATCATAAAAATGTAAAAAAAATCTTGGAATATCCCAAATATTTTTGTTTTTAAAATAAATTAGTTTAAAACTGATAGAAAACGTATTTTTCTGTAATTTATGTATTTAAAAATAATAGAGGTATTTGAAAAAATTGACCTTAAATGCAGTAAATGAAAGATTTTCGAATGATAAAAATTAGACGGTATTTGTGTGCGGTTTGAACAATTTTATAGCTATTTGAAATTTTTGTCAATTTAACTTGAAAGTTGAAAAAATATAAGGAAGAAAGAATTATGCCATGATATATTGATACAACATTTGTAGAATGTTTCTAGTATAACGAAATCGACGATATTACGTGATTACAAAAAATATTACTTTTTAAATTCAAATCTGCAAAAAAATTCTGTAGAGAATCAAACCTACTTCGGATTAAGGTTTTTTTGTTGATAAAGACATTAATTTTGAATAAAAAAAATATTGGGAACGACTACTAAAAAATTCGAAACTCCAAGGCTCTGTAAAGCTTAAAAATCATAAATAAAATGAAGCGGAATTGGGGGTGCCTCATAATTTTGAATAGCTTGTCTGACTACATTAAAATTTTTTTCTTCTTATGTGGTAAATCCACTCGTCCATTTTTAAACAATAACATCTATGTCAATTCTATGATTTTTTTTGTAGACATAGATCTTATATAAATGCTTAAAATATTTACCAAGGATGTTCTGTCGTAACGGAAGGGCGCAGGCGCGCACGAGAATGTATGGGTGTGTATTGAGCACATGAAGTATGTGTGAGCGGCGCGTGAGGGCGCTCGTCGTGGTGGGTGCTTTCGCGCTCTTGTAGTAGGAGATGGAGTATTCCTCCAGAAGCGATAGAAGTTAGTCCTATCCGCGTCGCGACTTTAACTCGTTTTCGGAATCCACTAAAATCTTCGCCAACAAATCAAAGACGCAAATCCAAACGCATTGCGCAGAAGATCAACGGGTAAAATAGAGTAGATAGTGTAACGCCTACGGGCATCTAACCACGAGTCATCGACTCAACTAACAGTTAAAACCTGTTGGTGATCCTATCGGATCTTACTATCAGATCAACTTACCTATTTACCTATACCTGCCTATTTACTCAACAAGGTGTGAAGTGTGTGTGTGTGTGTGGGCGCTCACAAGCAATCGAGGCTATCGGGCCTCTCGGCGAATCGGTATTCTGCGAAACTCTGTATACCTATTGTTCGGTGTGCGCGACTTAGTGCGACGTCATTCGTGTTCGATGTCTACTTTGTTCTTGTAATCCTGCGTTCGTTGTTTCTAACTTTAAGTGTTTATTTCATAACTAGTGCTCTTTGTAAATTCTAATCGTTATTCGTATAAAATAAATTTGGGTTTTTTATGCCTTCATGGGCTTTCTTCCTACAAATAGTTTTTTTTTTTATCTTTGTTTAATTTTCCCGCATTCTGGTAGATTACACGTTAAATCAATAAATTATAAATAATTCAAAAAGTAAAATTTTGCTACTCTGCCATCGAAGGAAATTTAGAATTCGTTGGAAACAATTCAAGGTGCCTCCTGTGAGGTTTTTGTAACCTTATCTTTGTTCGCGAATGACATCACGCGCATACAAGTTCACACGCGCATCGAGCCAACCGTCCTTTTGTTTTCGTTCGCGGAATTTCGTCAAAAAACTTAACAGACTACTACCAGAAAATTGCATCATCTAGCGTCATCATCGCTTCTCTCTCTCTTTGTCAACCGCCATTCGTCACTCCAACTACAGGAAGCCTCGCCACCCAATGGGTCGTCGCATCGTGGGACAGGATTTGATTCAGATAAGAATTTATTCAATAATATACTTTTTGTTATTTTTGTTTCGTGCGTTCATGTAGATTTTCGTAAAACTCTTTGTGAGCCATCTCATTGCTGTGTGAGTAGCAGCTGTCGCGCATCAAACTCTTCGCGATAAAATTAAATTGCATTTTTTCACTTCGAGTAAAACTTTCGATCATGGCTTCAATCGCAGCTTAAAGGGGAAGAATAGAATTGGAACCATAAGTTCCCTTGTACCAGTGTGAGGCACGGGTAGAGAATGCGGAAAAAATCATCATACTCTTCTCCACAACAAGAAGGTTTCCAAACCCAACGGTGATTATAAAACTGCTGATTCTAATTTGTCTTCTAGTTGACTGATCCATAAGTACTTCAGTAGCGTTTCCATTAGATTCTCAATTGATGACCACAGCTGTAGTCAAGGTCAAGGACAAACGAGGCGATTTCGTCGTGGCTCGGGCTTTATTAGATTCTTATTCCACAGTAAATTTGGTTACTAAAAATTTTGCAAAACTTTTAAATCTACCAGCATTATCTTGTTCAGTCAACATTGGGGCAGTTGACGGTTTGTGCACTGTCTCAAATAAATACATTCAAACTCACGTTCATTCCAATTACAACAATTTCAAACATCAAGTTCAGCTTCTGATTGTTCCTAAAATAGCCGACACCGTGCCTAACGACACTTTTCCTCGCCACCTCTTTGACATCCCTAAGGGTATAAAACTTGCAGATCCTCAGTTTCATTTGCCAAACTCGGTCGATCTTCTGTTGTCTTCTGGCACCACTCTGTCCGTCTTAGCAGTAGGTCAAATAAAACTCCAACGTGACAAATCCGAAATTATTTTGCAAAAGACTATTTTAGGATGGGTAGTCGCAGGAGGGGCAATTGATCAGATCTCCTCAAGCACGGCCTCTTGTAATATTGTTAAATTAGATAAACTTATAGAGCGTTTCTGGCTGATTGAGGATTTCGATCATGAACCCGTAAAGTCTCGTGATGAAGTTGCTTGTGAGGAATATTACGTTGCTCATACCAAACGCGATCCTTCTGGTCGTTAAATCGTTCGTCTTCCCTTTAGAGACTCCAAATTCAATTTGGGCGATTCTAAATCTCAAGCCCTTAGATGTTTCTATTCTCTCGAACGCAAATTTGAAAGGGATCCCTTTTTGGCTGCTGAGTATTCCAAGGTAATGATGGAATACATTTCTCTAGGCCACATGACTTTTTGTGACGACACCGACGATAGTTATTTTCTTCCGCATCAGGCCGTAATTAAAGATTCTAGTGAAACGACAAAGGTTAGAGTTGTTTTTGACGCTTCTTCTAAGACTTCCACAGGAATCTCTCTTAACGACACTCTCATGGTAGGACCGACTATTCAGAACACCATCTTTGCACAGGTTTTCCGGTTTCGTACTCATCAATATGTTATCACCGCTAATATCGAAAAAATGTATCGTCAAATATTGATTCATCCCGATGATAGGAAATTTCAAAAAATCCTCTGGCGTTTTAAAGGTGCACTTAGGACTTTCCAACTTAATATTGTTACCTTTGGTACAGCGGCTGCTCCATTTTTAGCAATTCCTACTATCCAACAGCTCGCTCGTGACGAAGCTCGGGACTTTCCAAGAGCCAGTAAGTTACTTCTTCGCGACTTCTATGTCGACGATTTCATCTCTGGTGCTGATACTCTTGGAGAGCTCTTAGCTATTCGCGATGAGATGATCGCCTTATTACTTCGTGGAGGATTTTTTATTCGAAAATGGTCTTCCAATCATCCCTCTGCTTTAGATAATATAACAAGAAGGTTTTTGATTTATACTGCGTCATCAACACAAATCCAATTCAGAAAACGTTAGGGGTTAAGTGGGACTCTCAAGGAGACGTTCTACAATATTCTGTTAGTCAACTTGACCCTCAGCTCGTTTCTACTAAGCGTCAACTTTTGTCAGAGGTTTCAAAGATTTTCGATCCGCTAGGTTTACTAGGGCCCGTCATCCTATTTGCTAAGGTTTTGATTCAAGATTGTTGGAAGGCAGGGATTGGCTGGGACGAATCTCTCCCTCAGGACATTCATACAAGATGGAAACTATTGGCTAACCAATTATCTTTACTAAGACAAATTTCGTTCCCTTGTCAGTTTCTAATTCCAAATCCAATTCGCATTGAAATTCATGGTTTTTACGATGCTTGCACGCATGGTTATGGTGCTTGCATTTTTATCAAATCTGTTGATTCTTTCGGTCAGGTAGTGATCAGATTAATTTGCAGTAAATCTAGAGTTGCTCCATTGAAAGGCCTAACCATTCCCAGATTAGAGTTGTGTGCAGCATCTGTCCTCAAAAAGCTCTACGTTGAATCCAAATCTCAATTCGATTTCTCCATCGACCAGACGATTTTCTGGTCTGATTCCACTATCGTATTGGCTTGGTTGAAGAAGGCTCCTTATTTACTTAGAGTTTTCGAATCTAATAGGGTTGCTGATATTCAATCGTTGGATGATCAAGTTTCATGGAAACACGTCCGCTCAGAGGACAATCCTGCCGATACTCTTTCTAGAGGTCAGTTACCATCCGAGTTTCTGAACAATTCGTTCTGGTCTTCCGGCCCTCCTTGGCTCTCTCTTCCTTCGCAAGACTGGCCTCAATCGGTCGAACCTGCGCCTAAGAAACTTCCTGGACTCAAGGAAGCAGTGTGCTTGACGACAACTGTGGCCACATCTTTCAGTGATATTTATTCACGATTTTCCTCGTATGATAGACTGGTTAGAGTAGTTTCTTATGTTTTCCGATGGAAACATAAATCTCGTATACAGGATAGGGTTACTCGGCCAGTGTATGAGATCCTAGATCCGTTAGCTAGAATAAAGAAATTACTTGAGTTTATTCGTCTGTTACTTCCCTCAGAAGTTATAGCTGCGGAGATGCAGATCGCTAGATTAATGCAAAGGGAAGGATTTCCGGTTGAACTTCGTCATTTATCCAAACAGCCTGTACCTTTTCGAAAAGGGACTAGTTTTGACAGGTTAGCTCCGTTCATTGGTGATGACCGCCTCATCCGGGTGGGCGGACGTTTAAGCAAGTCAAAACTTCCTTATGATCAGAAGCATCCGATTCTCTTGCCTAATAATCATTATGTCACCGACTTCCTCATTCGTCAAACTCACATATCCAATCGCCATGTAGGAATTCAAACCACTCTCTATGCCATCCGAAATAAATTTTTTATTCTCAACGGAAAGGAACGAGTTAGGAAGGTTATTCGACGTTGCGTTGAATGTATCCGGCGGAAGCCACCTCCAACACATGCTCAAATGGGAGTCCTACCCGAAGCTAGAGTAGACGAGTCCCCAGCGTTCGATCACACCGGTGTGAATTTCTTTGGACCCATTCTCATGAAAGAGAAAGCTCATCGCAACAGATCATTTCTCAAGGTTTACGGTTGCGTCTTAGTCTGTTTCGCGTACAAAGCCGTTCATATTGAACTCGTCCCAGATTTATCATCACACGGTTTCTTAACTGCTTTCCATCGTTTTGTGTCTCGTCGGGGTATCCCTAGCAACATGTATTCTGATAACGGTACTAATTTTGTAGGAGCTAATCGCGAACTTCAAGAACTTTATGACTTTTTTGAAAAACCGGAATTCCGTAGAGAAGTAGGAGAACATGCGACAGCAAAACGAGTGCAATGGCACTTCAATCCACCCTTATCGCCACATTTTGGAGGTCTTTGGGAAGCAGCTGTGAAGAGCTTTAAACATCATCTCAAACCTATTGTAGACAATCAGTTTACGTTCGATCAATTAGAGACTCTTTTAATTGAAATTGAAGCGATATTGAATTCGCGACCGTTAGGTGCTCTTTCAGCTAATCCTAATGATCTTCTGGCTGTGTCTCCAGCTCATCTTTTAATCGGTCGTCCATTCAATGTCTTACCGTAAAAATCTCTTTTGTTAATTCCAGATAACCGCCTTTCAACTTATCAATTCCTGACCAAGGCCCGCCAAAACTTTTGGAACAAGTGGCATAAGGAATATTTCCACGGGCTTCAAGTCCGGCAAAAATGGCATGCGTCTAATGCGGAGCTCAAACCTGGGATGATCGTCCTTCTCATGGACGATCTTACACATTGCGCAAGATGGCCGCTGGGAGTAGTTCGAGAGGTGTTTCCTGGGAGCGACGGCATCGCTCGGGTCGCATCAGTGAAGACCGCATCCGGAACGTATAGGCGCAACATCACTCGGCTTTGCATGTTACCGATCGCGGAAACCGATAGTTCCGCGGTGGAGCCTCAGCAACCTTCAAGTTGAGCTATATCGTGAAACACCCCAGATGGGTGCGAATTTGTCTGCCCTAACAGAGTTGGACCTCTTCGTATTCTGGAAGTGCGAGATAAGCCTGGTCCGAGAATGGCAGACCTCAGAGAGGGCTGTAGCCAGAAGCCTAGGGGGAAACCTTAGTGACGCGATGTCCAATCCGGAATGGTGGACCTTGGGGGAAGTTGAGGTTCTCCTTATCGATCAGGGAGCGGCGAACTTTGTAGGATGAGACATCCAATTTTACCGTTTGTTTGGTTCTATGTAAACCGGTAGCTATTTCGGTGGATGCGTTAACATGTTGTACGTTTCTTCGTTTTTAATTCAACTTCGCTCAGTATGGTTTGATATAATCAACGATGCAATCCCTCCGAAGGACATTGTGTCTCGTTACTCGTCTAGTCCGTTGATTACTTGTAGCCAAAGATTCTTGTTAGTTCGTAAGTTCACTTGTATGTACTCTTCTAATTTAGCACAATCTCCATTGTTAGGAGATTTATTATCTATTACGTTGTCTTGTTAGTTATATTTTGTAATCTGGTTCATAGGTCAAATGTAACCTATTTCGCAGCCTAGGCCGGGAGAAAGTTCCGTCGTAAGAAGGGCGCAGGCGCGCACGAGAATGTATGGGAGTGTATTGAGTGCATGAAGTATGTGTGAGCGGCGCGTGAGGGCGCTCGTCGTGGTGGGTGCTTTTGCGCTCTTGTAGTAGGAGATGGAGTATTCCTCCTTTCGGAATCCACTAAACTCTTCGCCAACAAATCAAAAACGCAAATCCAAACGAGCCGAAAGCGGCTCGTTTTTGTTTGTGTCGCGGGTCACGAACTCGCGCGCACGTGGTTTCGCCCTCGATGGCGAAACCTCACACGCACACTTTCGAGGTCACAGGACACAGCGCTTTTCTGCGGGCTCAGGTCTGCACTCCTGGTAGCTGCACGGCACTTCGGTAACAGCGGTCACTCAAAATCAGCTCTGGTACGGACGCTCTGCTTGCGGAATTCAATTCTCACGACTCGTGTGGCGGTAGCTAGTGTCGTATTCATGGGCGAGGGTGATGATGGATAAACCCTCACTGGTTCATTTGCAATCGCGCGCGTTCCGTCTGCTCGCGTGCCGAATTCCTTCGTTACATTTCTCGTCTCCCCGGTAGGTGCTGCCCCCGCAGGCAGCAATTAGTTTATATTATTAGCGCTAATTTGACGTTTACCGTCACAGCCCCCTTCTAGTCTGGACCTATGGGGTCCTCGACGATAACCATATTAGCGCTGTCCCTTCCGAGGTGGAGAGGAGAACGCACAATAAAGGGTCACAGTCCATGACGTGTTTAGAATAATATTTATTTGGTGAATGTGTGGCCCTGCCCACGGGGGCAGGGAATGATCACCTGGCTGGTCTTGTCGTTTCCTCCTGGCCTTCGTCATCCAATGGAGGACGCCCGCGTACCTCCCCTCCCAGTCTCTCCTGGACCAGGTCGGCGTGTTGCCGCACGCGAGGGCATGCCCTTCCCACTGAGCGCGGTAGAGGGTGCCCCGTGGGAGGCCTCGTTCTCTGGGAGTCAGTGGCAACCCGTCTCGCCGGTTCGGGGCGGACAACAACGGCCTTTCGGTCGTATGGTCCTCACCCGTGGGCCCCACCACAAGGTTAATGTGGATGGGTCCCGTTGTTTGACCCCCACAGCTGCCGTCCACATTGACCACCAGGTTCACCCCGTACGTCCGCGGGCCCTGGTGCGTCCTGACCGCCGACCCGGTCTCCGGAGCCGCTGGTCTGGCTCCGATGATTGGAGACTGGGAGAGGTCTACGGGTGTGTCACTCGCCGGGCCCTCGAGGACCTGGCGGTGGCGGCGCTGGACCTCCTTGAGCGCCAACGCGAACTGGCGTCGGCGGGACACCACCTTACCCCAATGATCCATATCGTCGGGGCCATGTATGCGTCATATTCGGCATACACGGCCCGTTGGAGGGCGTTGAGAGTCGCCCAGCCTTGCTCGACCTCCCTCAACCTCTCCACTATCTCCTCCCAGGTTCGGCTGCCAGACGAGGGTGTCTGGCTGGTGTACCTAGAGCGCCAGATCGCGTCGGCGAAGCCCCCCTTCGTTTGGGTGCCAACGGAGGTTGGTGGGGCCTTCAGCGGGATGGCTTCCGCTGGGGGTCCAGGCAGTGGCGCAGTCTCGGTGAGCGCGATCCCGGGCGCCGTCGACGTGTTCGAGGTGACCTCTTCACAGGGGAGCTCTTCTATTAGCACGGACGTCGAGCTCTCGTGAGCCCGCGCCCGTGCTTGCTCCTCTTCTTGCCTATTCTCCCCCAGGTGGTGTAGGGCGGCGTGTACGACGCCTTCGACGGCGGGGCCCAAATCTAGCCCGATGAGGGCGGCCGCCACCTGCTCGAATTGCTCGAACGTGATCTGCATCCTGTAATAATCCTACACATCAGTATCTCGAATATTTTCCTCGGATATCGAAGGTGGGCGCCTGTTCGGCTGCCCAGGGCCTTCGTCACCGGGGGCGAAGGTGGGGTCCTTGGCATCGGTCTCCCAGGTCCTTCGTTCGCTGGGCCTCATGCATCCACGGTTGTCGTTCTCGGTGGTCTACCCCTCTTCCTTTTTCCGACGATGGGAGGAGGGGCTCGAGTAGTCTGTCGATGCTGTGTAGTGTGTATGGTTAGTGCGTACTTGCGAGGTCTCTCTCGTGGGCGCTTAATCGCGTTAGTAGAAGAGGTGTTTAGTGGGACTTGGTTGGGGAGATTAAGACGGGTGTGACGAGGTGAGCTCGGAGTTGTCGCGTCGTTATTCCGGAGTGTTGTCCGCAGTGTCGGCGCGCCCGTTCCCGCGAATCGTCGTATCGCTCGCATTAGGCGGGACGCTCATCGCCTCGGTTCCCTCGGTGGTAGAGATCTCGTCGTCATCTCGTCGTCGGGTCCCATCTTCCGGTAAATCGTCATCTTGCCCATAGTAGGGTTTGAGGTATTTGGCGTGTATTAATTCCGTGACCTCTTCCTGTTGATTGGCAAGGCGATATGAGTTGGCATCTAGTACCTTAGTGACGATAAAGGGACCTATGAACTTGGGTGCTAACTTCGCGGAAATGCCCTGCGCCGCGCAGGACAGCACGCGATTCTTCTGCCACACCCAGTCCCCTTCTTTAAACCTGTGGGCCCTGCGCTTGGCGTTGTAGTACCTTACCTGTCTCAGGGACTCCTCCGAGGCGCTCTCGTGAGTTAGCTGAAAAGCGGAATGGTTATTCTGCATATGCTCGTTCCATTGACCGATTCGAAGCAAACTCTCCTCTCGCGCGACAAGCTCGTCCATTCGCCTTAGAAGAGTATTTGGGGCTTCCGGTTGCCTGCCGTAGTTGAGCATGGCAGGGCTGATCCCTGTGGAACTATGGACGGCTGTGTTCAACGCGAACATGAATTCGGGCCAGCGCTCGGTCCCATTCCCTGTGATTCCCTCGCAGGTACGAGGTTATCATCGTTTTCAAGGTACGTTTAACCTTTTCCGTAGGGTTAGCCTGCGGGGTGAAGGTTGGAGTAAAGGTCCGTTTTATCCTTTGATCTCTCAGGTACCCGTCTACCAGCTGGTTGCGGAACTCGGTGCCATTATCGGACAAGAAGATCTTTGGCGTACCAAAGCGCAGGATCACCCGCTCCCGGAGTTCCTTCACGATCGTCTTGCCATTGGCACTACGTATGGGTATACACTCGACCCATCGTGTGAATACATCAATGAATACTAGAACGTATTCATGCCCTCGAGGGCTCTTCGGAAAGGGTCCGGCGATGTCGCCCGCGACCACTTACGAAGGCGTGGTCAATGTTCGATCCTGCATGAGCCCGCGTGACAGTCCTTGCACTGTTGGCAGACCTGGCACCTTTGCACGTATCCCTTAACGTCCGCGTACATTCCCGGCCAATAATAGGACTGGGCGAGGAGGGCGAAGGTCTTCTCGCGTGCCAAAGGTCCTGCAGTCTCAAGGTCGTGGCTCTCGAACAATACCGCCTTGCGTTCCTTCGGAGGCACGACGAGTTTCCATGCGTCCCCGTATCCATCTTCTTCTTGGTGGTCGTAGTTTGGCTTTAGGTTTTTAGGTGTCGCAGGTGATCCTCGAATTTGGACGATACTACTATGATATCGATCAAATAGGCGAAGGCGAATTCGCCTAGCTCGGGGCCGATCACGATATCGATCAACCGTTGGAAGGTGGCGCCGGCGTACGAGAGGCAGAACGGCATTCGTACGAACTGGAAATGCCCCAATCCAGGTACGGTAAAGGCCGTGATTGGTCGAGATTCGGTCTTGAGTGGAATTTGGTGATACGCGCTACTGAGGTCGAGCGTTGAGATATAGCATGCGTTTCGCAAACGCCTCAGTATATCTTGCATTAACGGCAGGGGATATGCATTTGGCTCGGTAACCTTGTTGACCTTTCTGAAGTCAATACAAAATCGATACGAGCCGTCCTTCTTGCGTATCATAACCACTGGGCTCGACCAGCCGCTGTCTACTGGTTCGATCATCCCTTGGGCTAACATCTTCCTTACCAGTCTATGCATTTCTTGCTCGACCTTGTGCGATACCGAATAGTAACGCTGTTTGATTGGCCTCGCATCACCGACCTGAATCTCGT